CCTGCTGAGTTGCGCACTCTAGTTTATGTACTCTTGGTATCGCAAACAGTAGTGCACACAGCAAGCATGTTGACTCCTATGGAACGTCATCACAAAAGGCGAATGAAGGTGGCTTTCTACGAGCTCGTACAGGGTGCAGCAATTACTAAGAAACTGTTAAAGCTCAAGTTCTGCATTCCCATGAGTTGCCCTCACCCCTTGTACTGAAGCTCCTGTCTTGCACGTTACTTGTATGTTTGTACAAGTGTCAGTGCAGCTTTCCGTTACCCATCCCGTGAAGCGTGGATGTTACAGTACTCCTGTGGGCAAGCAAGCATACGTCCCAAGTTCCGATATGTCACCATATTATTTTATCCAATCCTGACATACTGGAAAATTGTGCTGTGGGCCACACTTTCATTCCTAACAAGCGGTCGTTATTGCTGATGTTGTTCTTACTCATTGGATGCAAGCCTATATTTTGTGTATGTATGTTTGCATGTTTGTTCCTTTACGAATAGGTTCAATGCTTCCAAAGTGAAGCTATCAAGAGCACATTGCCACACGAGTCATTCCCACAGCGCTACGCAGAGGCGTATGCAGCCGAGCTCGATCACTTCATAGACGTGCTAAGTGGAAGCGTGCCGCGCATAAGTGTTACCCGGGAGGATGTCCGTTGGGTGTCTGAGATCGCGACGGCCTGTGGTACATCGCTACGATCCGAATGCCCAGTCAAATTACCCCTGACTCAGTGACCATAATGACAACGGCAAGCATACTATGGTGAGCAGTGTATAGACTATAATAGTAGTAGAAGGATTGTAACATGTAAATGCCTCAGCTTGCCACTATATAGGTACCGTATTATCTCTAATATAAGGCCATGGTAAAAAATAAAGTTGATTCTCAGGTCATGAGCCTGTGAAAATCGGTGCGAGCGAGCAATTTTTTATTTTAATTCCCACAATTTTTTTATTTCCAAAGATAGGGTCACACATGTGTACGTCACAGGTTCATAATTAATTTATAATTATTTTATTATTCAGGCCAGGGAGTAGAAAAATACCGGTATTTTACTACTCCCGGATTCATACATTTCGCATTGACCGTTTTCATGCACGCATATGCATGCATAGAAATAAAAAAATCGTCGGTGCGCCGCCAAAAATCGATGCGCGCGTACTTGAGAATCAAAGGTATTTTTTACCATGGCCTAAGCACGCTCCTTTATTTTTTCAATGTACCTCCGCCCCGTGCTATTAATGGAGACGTTCCTTTATTGGAGACTGTTCCATTATTATTTCAACCTCATTTCAGAGGCATGTTGCCATGCCAAATTCATGTATGACACACACATTTCAGGGTTTTTTTTTCGCCGGTACAGATAATGAATTTACACAGTGTGCTTATAATGGAGACTGAGCATTTTATTTTTTGAATGTCGCCCCAAGGTGTTCTATTATTGGAGACGTGCTATTATTGGAGACTGTGCTTATATTAGAGATAATACGGGACTGTACTGTCTTCGTTGTACACCTTTGTACACCTGGCTTACGTACGGGTATGTTTACATGCCTCACAGCCCATGACGACGTCATGGTACACAAGTTTAAGTCTGCCACGTCTTGTACATGTCCGCTTATCTAAATGTGTGCTTCGATTCACCAATGATATTGTCACTCTCAAAATCTTAATCTTCTTGCCATGTTGTGAGGTAGAAAAGAGAGAGAGACATTAGTCTTTACCAATTTATTTTTGACCCATAGCTATTTCTTCCAGCAGAAATTTGGTTAGGGGCCACTGTTTTCGAGATGTACCATAACTCAAACCTAAAACACACATTTTAGTGAATTTTTTTATTATTTTTTTTATCACATTGCACATACCTACAGAAGAAGGGGAGACAAAACGAAGACGAAACAAAAAGACAACAATGGGTGTGTAGGCGCTACATGAGCTGAATTGGACGGAATGTCATTTTTATGCCCATTGGAAATCCTTGAAGTGCCTGTTTTGATTACAAACATGAGCCTTGCAGCTTCTTGGACAGGTATAAGCTGGACTGGGCTTTAAAATTCATCCCTCAATTCTGCAAAAATGTGTAGTTTTTAAATGTGTTTTTTTAGAACTGAAATCTCGAAGGCAGGCATAGTGGGTCAGTAAGGTAGGAGGGTAACATGGATGAAACAGACTTGCTGTCTGAGCACTTTGCAGTGGGTTTTATCTACTAGGCATCGCCACTTTAGGAGATGCGCCTGCAGCCTTGACCCCAGCGGCCTGAACAGGGCGATGGCATTCCTGTTCAATCTGACCTTACTCTAGTATCAACTGCGAAATTTAAATTCAAAAACAACTCGAGACGACTATGACAGCGGTGGAGCAACTCAGTAGCATTGTGATGGAGGACTCACTACCGGCAAGTAGTTAATTAATAGGTAGTATTAAACTTGCGATAATGACAACATATTACAAGGTGTGGAGGACGTATTTTATTGTTTAAACAAGGGACAGTACTGACAAGTAAGGCTTACACAAAACAGAGAGGTTCCAGGCTGTCCAAGTAAGGCTTACACAGGTGTAGTAGTTGTAGAAACTTCCACTTAGAACTTGCTTGGAACAATTATAGCAACACGTGATTCATCCTGCTTGAAGGTGAAGTATACATAGATATGCACCGCCGTGCATCGGCAGGGAGGCCACTCAGGCCATGACTGTGTGTTGAACAGTTGCTTGCAGGCCTGACTGTGTGCATTGTATACTGTGTTTTACTCATTTTCCTACAGCTGCACGGAAGGCAATCTGCTGTAAGCCGCACAATGTCCGCGTTACTAAACTTTCATGAAGTTTATCAGAACCAGCGAGTTTACGATGGCAAAATTTCCGTGGAACACTGTGGCCACAGACATACATCCATTGTCGCAGTTTGATTTCACGGTGGTTAGTATCCGCGTTATGCTCTTCTCGCAAACATTAGCAAACATTTTGGGCAGTTTACAGTATTAGGCTGAGGTGTGCTGTGCTCCTATGCCGCGCATTGATCCGTACTGTGTATGGCAGGTGTGCTGTGCTCCTATGCCGCGCATTGATCCGTACTGTGTATGGCAGGTGTGCTGTGCTCCTATGCCGCGCATTGATCCGTACTGTGTATAGCAGGTGTGTTGTTCATACCTGACCATGATCAGATGCCAGCCCGGCAGACCCAAGCTATGTGCATAGCGTTGTACTACTACATGCAGTACATTTCTTTATCTGGTGGGCACTTCTGTTGTCCTCCGAATGGGTTATGACTTATGAGCTGTTTTGCTTGCTGCCCCCACTTTGGTCTGCAAGCCGTGGCATCATCAAGGATCACCCGCAATCATGCATAACAGGATAGCTGGAATTTGAAAAAAAAGCTGCCGGTCACACGCCATTGTGACATCATGTGACCAAACCTGGCCTTTTCACATAGCTTCTGTTGTTGCCTTCTCTGGTCCCGGGTACACCATGTACCATGATTGTTGCCTTAGTAGAAAGCTCACGGTAATCCGTGCAGTTAGAGAACTCTGCTGCTTTAAGCCTACATGTATTTCGATGACTTGCGATTGGTTCGCGGCCAGTTTGTCTCAGCTCTGTTGAGGTTATCGAACAGGGCTGAACATGCTAGCTCAGATCTGGAAACCAATTTGCTTCAGACCTGGCTTTATGTTTTTGTCAGTTTTCTTGTTTTTTCTTTTCCCAAAGGCCAACAATAGACATGGTTAGCATTTTACCGTTCACCCTAACTTCGACCGTCGGCTAGTACCGTTTTTTTTTAGTGCCGCCAAGTTTTCGAGACATGATTGGCATTTCGGTTTCTGACATCGAACGGCTTGCACAGTGTGGATCCCCCCGGCTCCTCTTTTGTCCAGTTTCCTCCTCAACCGCCGGGAACTTCATGTGGGTCTGAGCAAATTCACAGCAAGCACGTTCGCCGCATTGTAAAATACTTTGGTTACTTCATCAAGAGTACATACCATGATACCATGATACATGTAATGCCAAGAAGGTGCAACTGCCTCTACTGGAGCTACCAACTCTATCCATTGTTGCAGCGGTAGAGTTTCACATCACGTGACAGTACCATGACGGAGTCTTCAGATTGAATTATCAGGAGTGCACAGTCATACAAGTATACATCACTACACGTACTTGAAGTAGTAGAAACACCCTGTAGTGTACTGTCTGTACTCCCTACTACTACAAGGCATGCAAGCCTTGCTTGAGTTGAGGACGATGACAGTGACATGCTGTCAGACTCATACTCATACTCATAGTCAATACTACCGTACATTCCCACTTGCACTACAAGTACCAGTAGTCTTCAATAATACAATAATGTCACCCACAAGTCAAAGGCTGCTACTAGTACAGGCATGTAAATCTACCTCAGTGGCGTGACCAGGTGACGATGGCCAAAAATGTTGAGTGAACAAACCGTGGCGTACACACCCACACAGCACCTCTACACTGTCTACTCCACTGCCACTGGCATTTTGATTGCACTGAGCACCTTTCGCTCCATAATCGATCCAGGCTCCATACACATGACCGTAACAATGCCAATGCGGCAATGCCAATGGTATGCACTCTGCCTCTCTGGGGAGTCTGGACAAGTGGACAGTCATGAATCAGCATCATGTCAGCCTCCGCGACTGCGTTTCCGAGGGGGTGTGCGTCCTCCCGGCCGGGAGTAGAGCTAGAGGGTTGAGTTGTGTTTTGAGTTCCAGCGCTCCCCTGTTGCTCTACATTCTTTGTAGACCTACATGGTGTGCAGAATTTTATTTGATTTTGTTCTTTCTCGTCTGTGGCCTACCGCCTGTGATTCTTGTTTCCATCGGTCCTCGTCCATTTGTCATCTCGCTGGAAGCTGTTGTCGCTTGGCTTGATCAAAAATGGCGAAACAGAATAATTCCTTTGGCGTTGCGCTGTTTGGGGTTGGACGAGCGGGTACAATTCATTTTGGAAACATCATTCAACGTCCACGCCTGCAAGTTCTATATCTTGTTGATATCTTCCCTAAGAACTGTGAGCAGCTACTGGAAAAGAACTATGTCCCACCAGGTAGAACGCAAGTTTGCTCTTACGAGAATTCTCAAAAAGTGTTCGACGATGAAAATGTATCATTCGTGATAGTAACCACTCCAACAGACCAACATGAAGAGATCGTCAGACGTGCTCTAGATGCTGGCAAAGCAGTATTCTGTGAGAAGCCCATAGCCGTGGACCACACTCGCGCGGACCAGCTCTTTGCATTGTCAGAGGAACGGAAGGTACCTCTGTATTGTGCCTTCCAGCGGCGCTTCGACCCAAGCATGGCAAGAATTCATGATGAAGTCATACAAGGTGAGTTGGAGATGATCACCCTGAGGTACGTGGTGCCTTTGGCCCTAGTCACACTGCATGTTAGAGGCATGCCCCAATGGCGATGCACCCCGCGAAAATTGCTCAAAGTCGCTTATGCTACACACCACAGTATGTGTCGTGCGTCACAATGACACGTAGGGTATTTGCGGTGCACGATACTGGATAGCCGCATTGAAGATCAGGGACGTGTAAGTGCGGGACGTGAATACACGGAGGCGCGCCATGAAAGCCTGCGGGCACGTCTCGCAAAATCCTTAGCCACTGTGAGCTGCAATGCCAAAGTCGCCATAGACATTTGCCTCAAAGGGGTCATTTTGTGCCACAGTGCCATGGATGCATTTTCGTGGCACAAACATGACCCTTTGATGCCGTATTCCTATGGCTATGGTGGTATCACAGCGCTGCAGCCCAGGACCTTGCACAGTGTTGAATAGAGTGTAAACGTTTCTCCATGAGAAGTCTCAAAAGTTTCGAAGTCTGAATACATTGTTGAACGGTCTCAGCTGGGATGGCAGCTACACCATAGCTCAGTGGTTAGAGCATCGCTGGCCTCAAGCCAAGGTCCCTGGTCCCCCCCCCCCCCCCCTGGTTCAAGTCGTGGCGTGGCGGTGACAGTCATTTTTTCAGACTTTTCCCGCTTGCATCTTTCCCTCAAACCAATGAATATTTCTCCATGATAGAAATGAAATGGAACAGGGAGCGTAGCCCAACAACACCAAGGTGAGAGCATACCTGGTCACCTATGAGTAGGCACCAGGAAAATATGCTCGAAAAATGCTTTCTCACAATTCTTACAATACAGCCGATTATGCCTGAAACCATGCCGATAATTCCTGGAAATGCTCATTAATTTAAGCTTGAAATTCAGTTTTTTCTTCGTATCCCAACACATGTGCGTCGGGAATTTGAAAAATAAGTTTACGTCTGAAATCTTTAGGAAATTTAGATGTCTGGTGCTCCTAAAACACCACGTGTTCTACGACATCCATAGTCTAAGTCCGCATTCAGCTGCACTACTCCCCCGCCAGTGGACTGACTGGCCAAGGAAAGGTCACGAAACAAAATAGTGTGTGTGTTTGTGTGGTGTGTGTGTGTGTGTGTGCGTGTGTGCATGACTATGTTGTAACAGGTGAGCACGGCAAGGTTCACATGATCACAACATTCAGCCGTGACTCTCCGCTGCCCTCTATGCAGTATTTGAAAATCAGTGGCGGCATCTTTCATGACTGTGCTGTACATGATATTGATATGGTGAGTCAATGCCATGCTGTGCCATCTACACCTTCCTCTGTACAGTGCCACACAGATGTCTATTCTGTCACCTTCATAGGGTGCTGCTTTTGCTGCTGCTGCTAGTATAGAGTATAGCGGCTTCGTGATGATTTCCTTACGTTTCGTGAGAGTAAGTGACAGTGTGTGTGTGTATGTATGTGTGTGTGTATGTGTGTGTGTGTGTGTGTGTGTGTGTGTGTGTGTGTGTGTGTGTGTGTGTGTATGTGTGTGTGTGTGTATGTGTGTGTGTGTGTGTGTGTGTGTTGGCGTGAAGAATGCGTGACAGCCCGTCACCTTTAGTTACTGTCTTGCAGAAACTGATACTACTGCTGTAGTACAGTAGTATCCTGGGTGTGTGTGTGTTTCCAGCTGTCTGTGAAGTTAGCATGTGTGAATGAGAGAGTACTAGTATCAGCACATTGCTGCCAACATTAGTGCTGGTAGCTGTGTTGCTGCTGGTGGTGATGGTGCTATGTACAGTGTGGTGTGTCTTTGTCACTAGTACTGTTAGCGCATACACGACAGTGCTATATAGTTCTGTTAGCGCATACACGACAGTGTGCTATATAGTTCTGTTCAGTGAGCATGCTGGACTTCTTTTCTGCGAACAAGTGATCGGTGTATGTCTTGCCTGATCCCTGCGTTTCCTCGATTTGCTTTTAGTGCAATTTCCTAGCATAAAAGTGTGTGAGAAGTGGTTTTTAAAAGTACTGTGCATGTACATGTATGTGTGTGTGTGTGTGTGTGTGTGTGTGTGTGTGTGTGTGTGTCCGTGTGTGTGTGTCCGTGTCCGTGTCCATGCATGTGTGCATGTGTGTATGTGTGTGCGTTTGTATCTGTGTTCAGGTTTGTTGGATTGCCAACGAGAAGCCAGACTCTGTGTTTGTGCGCGGCACTGCTCGCCACCCGGAGATCAAAGCCATGGGCGATGTGGACACAGTTGCTATCACGCTGACGTTCCCGTCCGGAGTGCTGGCGACCATTCACCTATCTCGTCATGCCACCTATCATTATGACCAGCGTCTTGAAGTGCATTGTGATAAGGGCATGCTGCAGTGTGGAAACGAAGCAGCCGATATTGTAAGTCCTGTGTTTTGTGCTTGGAGTCGCGTCTTGTTTTGTATTGGCACATGTACTCCACGATTGCGTGCCCTCTGCATTGGCAGCAGTAAAACTGGGCCAAGCCGGTGTAACCTTTGAGTAAGCGAGATTTTAGTAATGTTTTGAATGTGGACAGCAGAGGCGTCATGCTGGTACCAAAATTTGGAGTTGATGAAATTTACATCGCTGCCAAAACAACCAGGAGCACTTTTGATGGACTTGTTTTGATTCACATCTCTGCAGCCTGGTTGATGCTTGGTGCATAGCTAAATTGGTTGGTCTTTTCGGCATAGCTAACTTCTCATTCATGCCTGCTGATCCTGGTCTGGCATATTCTGCAGAGGGCCACGTACTCACGTTGTACTAGCCACTGACACGATCCCGACTAGTGGCCTAAAGGCTGAAACGTTTGGAATGGGATTGAAAGATGCCGCCGGTATTCACCACATCTGGCTTTTTTTTTGTTAGCATGGGCTGCGGTTGCTGCTGCTGCTGCGGTTTCGTCTCCTTTTCTATTGTAATTAAGCAAGCATCTGTTGGCCAGTTGTAGCATTAATAATAGCTACTTGTACAACTACTTGTGTCTGGAGAAGTATGCCTTGCTCCGAGAGCAATCTCTTGTGAGTCTACTGCATGGTTGCTGGTAAGTAGTAAGTAATTAGTTGATGAATCTTGGACGATTGTGTGTGGCCAGTTGGGAAGGTACTCCGCACGGTGTGCGAATCACCATCCCTTACCATAGTCGCCGGTCACCATACCACAATCTGATTGTCCTCATGCTGCATCCTACGGCTATGTAGTGCGTGTATACTCGGATCTTGGGAATTGGCTGGAAATTGATTGGTGCAATGCTTTGTGGGTTTGTTTGTGTCCATGTGTTCACTGCTGCTGCTGCTGCTGCTGCTGCTATTGTGTGTGCATATGTGTGTACGTGTGTACGCCATCTGGTCTCTCAGGTACAAACATTTGGCAGCAATTCAGTGCAGGGTGCTCTTCCTCACTTCTCCTTCCCGCAGCGCTATCGTGTAGCGTACGCCGCGGAGCTCGATCACTTCGTACAGGTGCTCAGCGGTGAGTGCGATCGTCTGCTAGTCACTCGTGACGAAGTGAACTTGGTGTCCGCAATAGCCACGGCTTGTGAAGAGTCCCTGCGTACTCAACAACCTGTGCAGTTTTCACTGTGAGCACACATGATGCAACCCCATCCTAGCCACAGAATTATTATTTTAACAATTTTCCAAGAGACTACTGCTGCTACTGGTGTGGAGCAACACAGGATTAAATCATCTGCTCAGTCAACTACTGCTGCGCATCGTAGATAGTCTGTTTATCTGCTTTTGAAATAAGCAAGTCGGCCAGCTCTCTTCGTATCTAGTCCGTACAGCCTTTCCTTAGACATGGGGTAGTTGCTGCACCCCTCGCCCTGCAAGAATCACCTGGAGAAGAGGAGATCCGTACACTGCACACGGCTACCGTGTGTATTCGTAAACTGTCGCTAACAGCGCCATCCTGACTGTGTCGCAGGCAGAAGTGCAGAGGTGGTCGTCACAACATTTGCCGCTTTTGAAAATGTCATGATTGTTGTAAAACAAAGTTCTGAAGTATCACATCACTTGTGCACCAACTCTCTTTTTCACACGCAACGAGAAGTCATCATGGCATTGTCCCTATGCTCCATTTTTTAACTTGAACCAGAGATCCCTATTTGAAATACAGTCAGACCTCGCTTATCCGGATCCCTCGCCATCCGGAAGAAAATAGCTGGTTACATATTTACAGCATACTTGATGCATCCGACATAAACGGTGTTTGGTTATCCGGTTCCCTTGCCTATCCGGATATTTTTGTGGAAAACAGATGTGTGCGGTTATGCGAGGTCTGACTGTACCTCGATTGGGAGTCCCCTATGGATCGCCTCATGTACATTTCTTTTTCTTTCTTTTTTTTTAAATTGAAAACTACCTTTGGAGACAATGGTATGATCACAGTGTTTGAAGTCCCCTATGGATCGCCTCATGTACATTTCTTTTTCTTTCTTTAAAAAAAAATTGAAAACTACCTTTGGAGACAATGGTATGATCACAGTGTTTGATTTTTTTCTGGTTTGTTTCAGTCTCATGTCAGTTTTAGTTTTTAGTTGGGAGGAGGTCTAGACGCGAACGATATTGGAATTCACAAAATCGAAATATTGTACTCACTGACCTCGCCGGATCAAGTCGTATAAAATGTTTTAGCCCTTCTTTTTTCATGTGCATATATGTATAGCAATTCGCAATTTGTAGCCTGTTTTGTTTTTCAGCGCCTGACTGCATCTGCATGCCAAGTATGACCATATCACCGGACCTGCAAAGGGAATATTAGAAAGATGGTATGCACGTGGCTGTGGGCTGTCGTCGGTGCAAGAGGTGACTGGTGTATGCACTATGTCAAGACATAGTGCATACACCAGTCACCTCTGCCTCACTGCAATTATTTCAACGGTGATGCGGACTTTACCAAGGAAGTGTAGTAGTATACAAACTAACTACACGACTGATTGTACATGTTGTAAACAAATGTACTCTGTAATAATCTCTCAAGCTCAAAGTTGGTGACGGCAAAATTTGAAAAGAGAAAAAGGATGGAAGCAAACGGGCACGAAAGCACAGTTTGAAAAGAGAAAAAATCAGAAACGAGCGGGCGCAAAGGTACGAAAAACATCACCAGCCACATAAAATTAAAAAGCAATCCTACCTATGAGTAAGTTGAGCATCAATGAGTCTGCAACCATCATCATCATCAAACGGAAAGGTAAAATTCAGGACTATAGATACCGGTATAATTATATTTGTTACAATTCATGAGCATAACAATTGACAAATGCAACGCGGCAGTGGCAAACATCATTACAATAATTATTATGATGGAGTCCCTGATGTACATGCACATGCGTAGTTTAGGCATGAACGGTGGCTAAGTCACATGGACGGTGGCTAAGTCATATGGCGTGACCTGTAAGTGTAAGTGATCTTGACTGTTCACCAGAACAGGTCCCATGTGTGAAAGGGACATACCAACTGCACAACGCACTTACATGGCGTGGCTCGGACATGTTTGGCCGCAACAGCAGCAGCAGCAACAGCTCGCGGGCGTGTCACATTCGACGTAACGGCCATCGCTCGGCCAAGCACAGCAGACACAACACAACCTGCGCCAGTGCGAGCAGGAAACAACGTTCTGCAGCAAGTCCCGCTCGTTTAGCAAGACGTTGAGCTACGCTCGCTTTGATGCAAGGTACACAAGATGGAAGGCGACAAAGTCTACAATGACACCTAGCATACAATCATGTAGATGTGTGCCCGGCATTGCCAGTTGGAAATACCTACTGAGCGGCCATGGCAGAGTAATCACCTCGCATTGCGGCAAGGCTGTTGAGAATCTTGCGCTGGTGCGCAGGAGATACGACTCCAAGCATTTCCAGGTCTTCAACACCAACTTCTTGGCACTGAGATACCTGAGAGATCACAGCCGAACGCATGCCCAACAGTGGCCACAGCGCATACATACACGCACACACGGAGGCAAGTTGAGAACTAATAATACCTGCAAGGAATAGAATGGACACTTGTAGTATCTCTCTCTCTCTCTTTCTCTCTCTCTCTCTCCCTCCCTCCCTCCCTCTCCCTCCCTCCCTCTCCCTCCCTCCCTCTCCCTCCCTCTCTCTCTCTCTCTCTCTCTCTCTCTCTCTCTCTCTCTCTCTCTCTCTCTCTCTCTCTCTCCCTCTCCCTTCCTCCCTCCCTCTGCCTCCCTCCCTCCTTGCCTCCCTCCCTTCCTCCCTCCCTCCCTCTCTCTCTCCCTCTCCCTCTCCCTCTCCCTCTCCCCCTCTCCCCCCCCCCTCTCTCTCCCCCCCCCCTCTCTCTCTCTCTCTCTCTCTCTCTCTCTCTCTCTCTCTCTCTCTCTCTCTCTCCCTCTCTCCCTCCCTCCCTCCCTCCCTCCCTCCCTCCCTCCCTCCCTCCCTCCTCTCTCTCTCTCTCTCTCTCTCTCTCTCTCTCTCTCTCTCTCTCTCTCTCTCTCTCTCTCTCCGATACATACCTGAGCATATCCCAGTGAAGCAAAGCTCTCCGCATACTGCGACAGCAGTAAGTGCTTTAACCAATCTTCTATGGTCGAGTACGGAGAAATGGGAGCATCGTGGCTAACGTTAGCTCTGCAATGGAAACACCAGCAGAACAAAGTTGAATCGTTGATGTGCTGTCAGTGAATTCCAACACTGAAGAGCAATCCAAGCCGCAATCAAGTAACATACCTCACTCTTCTATTTCTCACAGTGGGGCCAGATCTGCTGCGAAGCTCTGAACTATACCATTGCAACATTGTAACATTTAGCACACATTCGAACTGGGAGCGGGACTTCTGGTTCACTGCTTGCACAACCAGACCTTGGATAAAAGAGTAGTATCAAACAGAACATTCAACGAGAAACTTGGACAATAGGGACCTTTCGCACCACGCGTACGGATACGAAACGAATGCTGATTCGTCACCTGGGTTCGAGGATTCGTCAGAGTCCCTGCGGAGAACTCGTTTTCACGAATGGAAGCCTCTTCATTCGTGGCACGCTTCGAATCCGTCAGGTACACATTTATTAATTTTGGATAGCCTAGGTACACATGTTTTGCAAGGTACACATTTTTCCCTTGATTCCATGATCCATGCACGTGTGCGTGTAAAAACCCGTACGCCAAGCTACCAGCGCCCGCGGCCGTATATCGTAGTTGCCATGCACATTTGCATGACGACTTGCGAAACCTGAAATCTGTTTTCAACGAAACGATTACGAGCCGAATCAAACTTTCGTTTCGCATTCGTTTCGTAGCAAATGCGAAAGGTCCCTAATGACACCAACTATAACCTGTAATATTGGTACACTCAAGTCCAAGCAGGAAAATCTCCCCCGCTGTAGAGATGTGATTTTGCCATGGCTGGGTATCACCCTCATCTCTGGGGTTGTTCTCCGTAGTAGCATTTCTTCCATACGCTGTGAGATAGAGTTTGGTTACATAAATAAATGTTGTGTGCACCAATGAGTGCCCGTCAGTCATGACATCCAAGTGTTGCATTGCTGTTAACTCACGTGTGCACATTCTCCACCTGCAGCTGGCCTTCGAGGAGACGCTCAATCTTGGTGCGGATCTGTGGAAAGGTAGGTCGCTGCGTGCGGTCTTTGTTCCAGCACTCCAGCATGAGAGCGTGCACTATTGTCGGACACCCCTACAAGACCGGGTACAGGTATAGAGAGTAGAAGAAGACTGCTATGTAAGCATTACCAATGGCTACTGCAACAAGCCTGCCCAAGCTCCTTGCTTTAGGTAAGGTTTCTTTGCTTCTTTGGCAGTTTCTTCGCGCACGCTCGCACGCACACCAAGCACACACAAACACACATACGTGCACACACACACCCGTGCACATCACAAAATACCTGTCGACTGAACTTACCGATGGCGGTGGGAGGCGATACTTGTGCTGCGTGATAGCGTCCATAACCTACAAATGCATGAGATTGGACCACAGCAAAACACACACACACAAGCACAACATTCATTAACTTATGACTAAAGTAGTAAACGAAAACATGGAAAACGGTGGGGCACAAGTTACGCGTTAAAAGAGTCCACCAACTAAACCAGGTTTTGAACAGTCAGACGTGCACAAGGTAGCAGCAGACTGACAGACTTGGCTGAGCATCCCAGTACTTTTTAAAGTAGTACATTTTGGACTAATACTACTTAAGTACAAGTAACTTCTCCCTACTTTGCTTTGAACCTTTTCATTTGCTCTTATACATCTCCCCTTGCTACACGTGTACGAGCCCACCTTCTTTCCCTGGTTCTTCAGGGCAGAGACAGAGTGGAACAGACCAGTGCAGATCAATGGACCTCCAGGTGTGTGGAAGTCCAATACGGCCATTCTGTCAGTTGTCTGAAAAAGTCGCTCTACCAGGTGTGCATCTGTTGTCCTAATTCTAACAAAGTGTCTGTGCCTCTGATTCAGACATGTAAGCACGCTAACAACTGAACTGCGCATGCCAGGCTCTATGTGTGTGCAACAGTTGACAAATCAAAGAAAGCCAGCAACATCTCTCTCACCTTGGAGTTTCCCCAATCCCAATACGGCCGTTCTCCATAGGACATGATTTCCCACAAAAGAATGCCAAAGCTCCACACATCCGATGCGGTCGTGAACTTGCGGAACTGGATGGCCTCTGGCGCTGTCCAGCGAATCGGCAACTTGCCTCCCTACGAAGGTAAAACAACATCGACACAGGTGTAAGTGGAAAGATGAAAACTACTTCAAAGTATGAGAGTGTCTGGAACACTTACACTCAATTCTAGATTCTCACAAGTTAGTACAGTGCAGTCATGTGCAGAGTATAATAACTATAAGAGATTCCATACGATCAACTGCTGCTGCACACGCACATCAACAGCATAACACGTTATCACATCCCCACAGCACTGCCAGGTGCCGAAGAACAGTGTATCAGAGAACAGTGCATCAGAGAACAGTGCATCAGAGAACAGTGCATCAGAGAACAGTGCATCAGAGAACAGTGCATCAGAGAACAGTGCATCAGAGAACAGTGTATCAGAGAACAGTGCATCAGAGAACAGGCTGCTAGAATTTCACCAAGTACAGTTTAGCCGTGAGCTCGCAGTGGATCAACTACCTAGACAGCAGCACATGAAAAATAAGAAGTTCCTAGGCTACGCCTATAGATCATGGTTCTTCTCCAGAAGATGGAGTACTGCATACAGAAACTACACGTACAGTCAACCTTGCGAAGAACAATCCTCAATCGTGCATGAGAAAGTGTCGGTATTTGCGAGGTTGGAAATATGCAGTCAAATTGTCACTTGGTCTGAAGATCGAGTTATTATACCCGGGGTAGTTATTTATTCACAAGGTTGACTATACGTAGTAGGAACGCAGAGGTGTAGGGGTTAGCCCCGACGACAACAACAGCAACAATACTTATAGCAAGAAGAACTTACATGCTTCACTTCATAAGCATTGTCGTCATCTGCTTCCCGGGACAAACCAAAGTCGGAGACCTTGCACTCGCGCGTCTTGGAGACGAGGATGTTCCGAGCAGCCAAGTCCCGGTGGATAAAGTTCATATTACTGAGATACTCCATACCACGCGCTGCGTCCCTGGCCATTGCCACCAGTTCTTTGGGCTTCAAATTATTCTCATTTGTCTAGAGTGACAAGAGCAAACAGCCATGCCGCAAAACACAATCCAATTATAGAGCCTACAATCGACCACACAAAAACATATGTGCACCCTATCCTTTGAAGATAACTCTTCATCTCGGTGTGTACGTGAAAGCTAAGCAAGGTCACATTTGTCCAAAAGACAAACGACAAAAGGCACAGCAAGATGGAGATAAAACGCCAATGGCTGCGGCAGACAGTTAGTATGCCGGCCTTATAATAACAAACGTTGAACCAAAAAAATAGAACTGACCTGCAACTGCAAGTAATGATCAAGTGACCCGTTTTCCATGAACTCCGTTAGAATCATAGCAGGACGAGCTAGAAGATTGGGACGCACAAACACACACACACACACACACACACCACCACCACCACCACACACACACACACACACACACACACACACACACACACACACACACACACACCGTTGGACGCCCATCGCCGAAAGCGATGATAGCGATGCTACAGCAGAAGCCATAGCAGCTTGTGCTGGGATTGCACCATTCAACAACTTGCAAGGCTGAAAAATTGACTGCCACTATTCAGCCTGGTCTACACCACACAGCTATGAAGTGGCTTTTTCTGGCCAGTGAATCCCTACTTTTTGATCCACACACACACACACACGCACGCACACCAAGAGCAGATACTCTGAAAACTGGAGGGTCCGTTATCTCAGTGAGGCACATCATAATTATTCACAAAGAGAATGCAAAGTATCACACCGTGGAAAAGCAAGAGGGGTTCTTGACTGCTTACTTCTATCCTTAGAGCAGATGCCCATTAGGGCTATGATGTTAGGACACTGGAACTGGCCTAAGATGCACGCCTCCATCAGGAAATCCTTCTTGACGTTGTGATCAGCTCCACTCTACGCAGAGCAATGCGGTGCCGGCACAAAGGTAAACATATGCATGCACATGTACGTCCACAATTCCACATGCATGTTAACACCGACACATAGACACACACACACACACACGCACAAGCACACAAACATACACACACACGCACACACATACACACACACACATACACACACACACGCACACACATACACACACACACACACACACATGCACACACCACACACACACACACATGCGCGCGCACCCACACCCACACACACACACACACACACACACACACACACACACACACACACGTACACACACACACACACACACACACACACACACACACACACACACACACACACACATACACACATCATTATTCAGCCACTCGCTTGTAACTCCACTTGACACTGAACAAGATACCACTTCCAGAGCAGAGCTAGGAAATCTAAGCAACTGAAGCATTGTATCAAGCCGCCACATTGGCCAGCTTCTGGTATAACAAGAAGACTCCACTCACCCACCTGCGGGGAAACCTGAACAAGCGACACGTACACCAGGGAGCAGTAGCGTCTACGCAAGTAGGGAGATGACATAGGCGACTGAAACGTGAAACGATATGGGTTTCGCTCCCGAGCTGCCCTGCCCGTTCCAGTCACCCTTGGTGTGGGGCTGATTTACGTTTGCTCGCGTATGCCATCACTGGTCAGGGCCACGTTTGGGGTCAGCAGGTCCAGGCCGCGCTCACAAGTTGCATAGAACACAGGTCTTGCAGAACTTCCAAATCTGGGGTCACATCATTGCAGGAGGTACTATGGTCTCGTATCACCTCCCTAGATGCTAGGGTTCCAGGATCTACATACACTGTACGACATACATGTACGGAGTATAGGTAATAATGACCCAGGAACTGAAGTGAAGCGTGAAGGTGGTGCTGAAGTGAAGCGTGATGGTGGTGCTGAAGTGAAGCGCGATGGTGGTGCTGAAGTGAAGCGTGATGGTGGTGCTGAAGTGAAGCGTGATGGTGGTGCTGAAGTGAAGCGTGATGGTGGTGCTGAAGTGAAGCGTGATGGTGGTGCTGAAGTGAAGCGTGATGGTGGTGCTGAAGTGAAGCGTGATGGTGGTGCTGAAGTGAAGCGTGATGGTGGTGCTGAAGTGAAGCGTGATGGTGGTGCTGGATTGAAGCGTGAAGGTGGTGCTGAAGTGAAGCGTGATGGTGGTGCTGAAGTGAAGCGTGATGGTGGTGCTGAAGTGAAGCGTGATCGTGGTGCTGAAGTGAAGCGTGATGGTGGTGCTGAAGTGAAGCGTGATGGTGGTGCTGAAGTGAAGCGTGATGGTGGTGCTGAAGTGAAGCGTGATGGTGGTGCTGGATTGAAGCGTGAAGGTGGTGCTGAAGTGAAGCGTGATGGTGGTGCTGAAAAATAAGGATGATAAACTAAGGCCTGCGTTAGGTCTTACCTTCAAGACTTTGACAGCCACTGGCTTCGAACCCTTGCCAGGTATCTTCAACTCGCCACGGTGAACGTGAGCAAACTCTCCTGCAGTGCAGCAATAGTAAGGAATGGAGCAGACACGCAAGCACACCCAGAATCAAGCACAGAGACTAGTTCACACACAATTCAAACATCAAATGGGGCAGAAACGCACAGAGCTTTCACTCTCCCGTAATATTGAAACCCGGTCGAATTTTAAGAAGAAAAAAACACTCTCGGACAAATCCTTACAATGGGTATTGAGAGTATGTTCCTAGAGTTTAAAAAGGCCTAGCTGTAGGCATTGGTACATTTTTGAATTCACCCCACTTTCAAGGCTTGCAGGGATATCTGCCTGATCGCATTTACATGTATATGTACACGATTCTGGCATGCTGGCTGGCTCAAGCTGTTATACCATGGTGTCAGCCTTGACATTCATGGAACAGAAAATCACGGCACACACATACATGGCGCACACACGCACCCCCCCCCCCCCCCCCCCACACACACACACACGGCACATGCATACACATACACAGCACACACATTTGCATGGGGATAGTAAAAGTATGTGGTGAAGTCAGTTCATCTACCTTCTCCAATGGGTTTCTTCAGGACGACAAAGTTAGGATTGACCTCCTGCGTGAAGTCATTCAGAGCTTGAGTAACATCATGGTAGATGGTCGGATCAACAAATTGTCGATTGCTGGGTGTGGGAGAGAGCTGTGAGGTAGGACCGGTAGGGGGTGTGTAGTTACTCGTGTCAGTGCTTCGCAACGAAAGAGTACGGTGGCGCAGGATAGATGCTGTACATGCAATGCAAGAGACAGAGCAGAGCAAAGTGCAAAGAAACTATTACTACCGGTGAGGTGACACGCAGAACAATGCCATGCCAGAGTGGCCTGTTGATACAACTGAACAGGTGATGCACAGGATCAACATTCACTGCAAGAGGAGTTGACCCAGAAGTTGTTATTTGAGCCAGAGCGCGCTAAAACATGACCACAGCTTTTTTTGAAAAAGTCGAGAAAATCGCGATTTGAATTCCGCGGCAAAAAAATACGAAGTGCAGTGCAACGCGAGTCGCTGTTGTTGTTCTCCTCGGTCGACTGGACTGTTCCGGATGCATTTCTTTGTTGCAAGTAAGTTTATTTGTTTGAGTTTGTATTCCATGTTGCGCTGAGTCGCCTAAAACTGATCGTCATCGATGTATCGACGGAAGAGCCTAGTAGTAGTAATGTACTGCGGAGCGGAAGAAGACGACATCCTCGCACTCCATGCGCAGGATAAAATATTTTGAGGACTCGGGTCGGAAACAGAAGGAAGACGATGATGGCTACAGCGACGAGTCATTTGAGGGCGACACTTTCATCGAGCGTAAAAGAATTGATGCTGGTAGTCACACGATCTGCAGTGACGAGGAATTCTACTCTGATGACAATCTGGCAAGCGATTGGCATCGACACTGACTTGGGAGGTGAGTCGGCCGATGATTTGGCCAGAATGGACATCGTTGCACATATCCGGGACAATGCCAGTATTGGTTGCAACTGCAAAAACAATCAATGGACTCTGCTGCTCCCTCAACTTGCTCAAGTCGATAATTTGAGTACCCTTATGCGGAACATCGCTAGCACGAGCAGTAGGCAGCGAAAGCAGTACTCTCTGGCGAGCGGAGAAAACCGTGTGCAGATGAGCTTTGGTGTGGGGAATATGAGTGCGACGTCGAGTATGTTGAGGAAGACGGTGTGCAGCAGTGTATATCGTATATTATCCATATAAAACCGCTCTGTGAGCGGTTCTGAAAACCTTTACTGGTACTGCCCCGTCGTAAAAGTAAGAAATTAGAACTGGTCCATTGTCCTCCCAAATGCGAACTGATCCACCTAAATCGCGAATGACGGGACCCGAACGCACCAGTAGCACGAGGTCGGGAGGGCACAGGACAGCAATTATCATAGGGTAACACCACCTACCGCTAGTACAGTACATGGCCTTTGGTCCGGACCAACGTCCCCATCTGCATCCACAGGTAGGAACCTCGTGCTACTGGTGCGTTCGGGTCCCGTCATTCGCGATTTAGGTGGATCAGTTCGCATTTGGGAGGACAATGGACCAGTTCTAATTTCTTACTTTTACGACGGGGCAGTACCAGTAAAGGTTTTCAGAACCGCTCACAGAGCGGTTTTATATGGATAATTTCAGTTCTTTTTCCGTTCCCTCCCCACCCAACCCCGAAGGTAAACATGATGACCACGCTCGATGTACTGTATGTAGCCATGAGACTGCAATAAAACACTGATACATACCAGCCCTCCTCGCCTCGCTACCCCGCACACAGATACACAAACATGCGAATGCACACGGCACACACACGTGGCCACGCACACATACACACATGCACACGGCACACACGTGGCCACGCACACATACGCACATGCACACGACACAAACAGGAAATTCTTCATATATAATGCCATGCAAAGCAGTGGCCACCGTACTTGAGGAAGTCAGTTGTGAAACAAAAATTATTCAACTACAACGAGTAGACAAGCTGACGGCCAAAGCACAACATAGCAAACATGACATTTGCCCAAGGATTGCAGTTTGCAGACCACGCCATGGAAGCAGCGAATACAGAATGTAATATCATACAAAGTGACAAGCAAGGAAGTGGCCATCATACACCAGAAACTTGCAGAAAGTCACACATCCAACAGATAGAGAAGTGAACAGCAATCTGATACAGCCCAGACAGGACAAAGCTGACCTGATACTCGTCCCAGGATCGCAAGTGGCAAATCCTTTTCAATGCATAACATGCAGGTGTACGTTAGACGCATGGACAACATCTGACCGTGTCGCCAGCATACAATGTCATCATATGTTTACCCCACAAGTTACACACATGCACAGTAGAAGCACAATGAAAGCAATGGAAAAGTACGATGTGGTTGCTGAAGCATCTTCACACTTCAAATTCAGACTTCAATGTGGTCGTCACAGGATGATATACCTGCAAGATACAAGTGATGAAGAAAGGAAGCAGAAGGTCGTGAGGTAGGCTATGAGTAGTCCTTTCCCAAAGATGCCATAGTTTTTCGCAACTTATGCTTTTCGCAACCGTGCCAAAACAAGTGTTCGTTGCTGAAATCGCATCCATATTTTCAGAAAAAGCTCAAAAGTTGCCAACATCGCAACTCAAAATTGGAGAGTTCTTGTGCAAAACCTACAAAACAGGGAGCAGAAATAGCAGAAATGCAGCGATGCTGCGACAGCAAACTCGTACACCCCTTCCTGCTGTGAACCACCATTTTACACAGTGCCAGTAGCCTGTTGCATGTATCCTACATGTACATGTACATCATTACAGTGCACGGAAAAGGGAATGCACATAATTATCGTAACTACCGTTGATCTACTGTTTCTCAGAAATGAGCCTGAAGGCAGGCGAGAAATGAGCGAGCACGAGTATGTATTAATTGTCCAACAATGCAACATGTAGTCGGTGACTTGACCTTTCGACCCCATGCCATGGGGCCAATTGCGCCAAGGTTGCGGAGAAGTTGCGAAATAGTTCCGAAAAATGAAGAAAGTTGTGAAAGTTGCGATTTCTTCCTAAACACCAAAAAGTTCCGAAAAAAGTGGCGAGCATCTTTGGGAAAGGGCTAGCTATGAGACACCACAAACGGGTCACCTACATGTATGTTCAGGGCTAGTGCACTCACACGCAGAATTGTCATAATCGAGCATTTCCCAAACTGAGAAGTGCAATGAAATCCACTTGCATGCACAGGAGCAATTTTGCAATATTATGATGCGCAATTCGACACGATCTGCGATGCTGCATGCGATGTGCCCTGCCGTCATGATGGTGACAGTCACCGCGGCATGTTTTGTCAACGTCGCCCTTGCACTCTTCTGTCAAGTCCAAAGTGCTCACATACTTGGCAATGTCTTTGCAGTGATTAACTTTTATCCTAGTTATGTCACGAGTAACTTTAATGAAGTACCCGCAGGCCGTGTCGATCCGCACATCGTCCACTCTCTCATATACTTGGCCTGCTTTGTCTGTGTATCCATTTCATGTGCGATCCACAAAATCGACTAGACAGTGGGTGCAATACGCTCTCTATCTGAAGACGTTCTTCTGGCGACATCTCGCCATGTACTTGGCCTGCTTTGCCTGTGTATCCATTTTCATGTGCGATCAACAAAATCTCAATGCACTACAGAGACTTGACAGTGGGTGCAATACGCTCTCTATCTGAAGACGTGAACCATTAAATTTTTTGGAAAAGTTATACGTACACCTGAAACGTAATGAAGTACAGGAATAGAGAGAGTGACTACAATACGCTCTCGACCTGATATAGTGATAACGTGTTAGAAGGTAACAGGTCTACAGTCCCACCGTACCCTTCCGACACGACTGTAGACCATTAAATTTTTTTGAGAAGTTATACGTACACCTTAAACGTAACGAAGTACAGGAATAGAGAGAGTGACTACAATACGCTCTCGACCTGATAACGTGAGTACAAGACACTCTCCACCTGATAACGTGTTAGTAGAAGGTAACTGGCAACATATCAATGGGTTGCCTTACCGTGGTCTAGAGGAAACGTCTTCGCAGCAATATTTTCCCTCCAGCGCATTCAGTCGCCGACGCGACATCGTTTACTGGGCCGTTCCAGTTGCGGAAGACATTCGATTCATCGGGCCAATTCAGCAACAGGGCCGTGGACACACAGGGGGCAGAGGAGAGACATTGTTAGTGGACAAGAAAATAATATGCAGTGGCAAGTGGCGAGTGCCGCACGGATGTCAAGTTGTCATGCACAATTCAGCTACTACTTACGGTCCAGCTAGTCCTGCCGTTGCTCGCTCGTCCTGGTTCCTCCTCGTTCGTCTTCCTGCACGTCTGCTCTTCTCCTTCCCCACCGTTGGCTTTGCGGTACGGGGGTGCCGGAAGGAATTCCCACCATATCATGTACATGAAGTCCCACCATGTCTCCATGTACATGTCCACGGCCACGTCAGCAGCTTGTATAGTACCGGAAGGAGTTCCCACGATGTCTCCAAAGGCCAAGAGCGGACGTCTTTGCAGCAATTCTTTTCACCCTGCACATTCACTCCGCCGACACGACATCGTCGACAGCGTTTACGGGGCCGTTCCAGGTGCAAAAGGTCCACGTCAGTAGTTCTCAACTATTTCGCGTACGGGATAGTCGCCGCGACAGCGTTTAAGAGGTCGTTCCAGGTGCAAAAGGTATCCATCAATGGCACTTTGCAGTATGGGGTACGGAAAAGGGGCCTCCTCGTTCGACTTCGTCGACTTCTGCAGTTCTCCTTCCCGTCAGGGGTACCGAAAGGGGCCTCCTCGCAGTTGTCCTTGCCGTCAGGTCCACGTCATGCAGTTCTCAACTATTTCGCGTACGGGATAGTCGTCTTTGTCGTACGCGGCATCCGCGTTTACCGAGTGGCATTGGCACAAAGCAGACCGTTGACGGGGTCACGTGTCAAAAAAGTATCAACAAAGTGTGGACTAAGTGTCGACCACGTGTATAGCGGTACACTCAGCGGTACACTAATTCTCGTGCCATTCTCGTGTCACAAAACTGGAACATCGAGTACCAGTATGGAAAGGCTTCAGACAGGAAGCCTTTCCAATCTGAAAGTACAGGTGGAGTGTGATGGAGAGGACGTGGCGTGTCAACTTCTTCGTCCGTCTACAGATGTTGACCGTGTTTTCGCTGGCGGTTCTCCAGTGGTGCTCCAAACAGGAGGTATTTCGGACACCCAGCTCAGCTGCCATAGAAATTTTGGATGTGGCTGAGTACCTGTCAGCTCATGCTATAAGACCCTGGACAGAGGAACTGACCCGGAAAGGATGAACCAAGGAACATATCAGCAGTGTGCAAAAGTGACAATCCTATTGCTGTACATAGAATTTCACCATTTCAACAGTGCTGCATATAATACCATTGTAGCAACACTTAGACATGTCAGATCAATCCAAAACTTTCAGACAGTGAACATTAGGTGTGTTTGATCATTTTTGAACAAAAAACTGAAAATCGAATTTTTGGTCTGTGGTCATATTTTAGCGTGCTCTGGCTCATTTGTTGACTTCTGATGTTATCATTGTCATGCCCTGCACTTCTCAGACAGGAAAATAACTCCAAGACAGGGATGTCCACCGGCTAATCCCTCGCAACAACCTGTGCCTCCCGATCACCTTGGATTCAGTACAGGGCACAGTTGCCATGTGGCTACTTGGAAATCTCCCATTGTATGGCCAAGAAAAAAAAGAGGGCTATGCATTGAAGAAGATCAGCGAGGCTCACCGCTGCCACCTTCCACTCCCGAACTGGAGCTGCGAGAGACCTTCACAACGTACCGCGACGCCGGTCTACGTCTGCATGAAGACAATACACACACACAAGCGGCGTTCACCCATGTCAGCTGGCTGTTACTAGTATATTGCAACGCGGAATGCTAGACAAGAGCATACCATGGAATGGATAACACAGCACACACATACCACTAGCACTACAGTACGACTACAGTGCTAGCCATTCAACTTTGCCCTCCTGGATAAGATGCTGTAGCAACGGGTTCCGCATGATGCAGGGAGCTCAGATGATTGGCCATGGACACTGCATTGCCCCTGTACTACGAGCATTGGGCTGTGCACTGGAATGCGGCGCTGATTTATAGGTGAGCCTGCGGAAGAAATCCAAGTGAACGATAGTGAAAATCTCGGTGACCCCTAGTTTATATTTCACATAAACATTTCCACCAATCATATCCGTTGAAAACAATCTGTTTTTGTTGTTGTAGAAATGAAGTTTGAAGCAGACCTGTTATGAGAGTATCTCACATAAGTAGATGCACTCATTCACCACTTACTTATGGTAGACGATCGCAATGATGATGATCAAACAGAAGACGACGAAGATGATACCTCCACAAACAGCGCCCACCACAACGCTCAAGTCCAATGTGGACGAGGAAGGTGGTGTTGATGCAAGTGGTGCGGTGGTCAGGCCGGTTGGCGATGGCGTGAAGTCCGCCTCTCCTGGAGTCGCACTGTTAACGCTCACACCAAATCTCCCAAAGCCAGCAACCGTGTACGCACCCACCTACAGGACAGATACAATTAGTATAGACTGTACTATCAATTTCAAATTGGTATGCATTTCATCGCGACATTCGCGACAATGATGAACATAAATCAAACAAAACCTTCACTGAGATCATTCTAAATAATCCTTCCACGTAGGTGCATAAAAAGGCTATTGCCTCATTGAAAGACTGTACTACAGTTCTGGCAACTGAAATCCGACCCCTGAGCCGGTGCGCTCACATCGCAAAGACCCAACACGGGATTGTAAAATTACGAAATAGAGACCGCTCAGTGACCGCTCAGGGATTGGATTTCAGTTGCCAGCACTGTAGACAAAGTAAACCCTTCCTTGACAGCGGGGCACATAGTAGTCACAGTAGTAGTTTGGGATTGTGAGTAATCTATTTTTGTGCACGACAATACAGGTGGCAGTGAGGTCTGGATACAGGTCTGCTCTCACTTGTACGTAAACCTCGCTAGTACGTAACAAAATCAAATCCCGCACCGGAACAGCATCACTCCCATACACATTTTGTTCTGCACAACGTAATCCTACATAACGTAAACCTCAACATAATGCATGCTACGGCGCGGTTCCCGAAGTGCGCACTTTCGATACAACATAGATTCACGTGCGCGGTACGATCAAGCTGCAGCTGTAGCTAGCCAGTTTAGTCCTATTGTGCATATTCGGCGGCATTGATTGTATCTGATGTCAATAGTGGTGCAGTGTGTACATGTTTGCATGGTTCAATCCACCTTGTAATACCCTTCATTGTGAGGTACAGGTACATATTGTATTTTACACACGGGTTTCTACATAACATAACTCTCGATATAGCATGTTTGCATGGTCCCAGAGATTGCGTTATATGGAGAGTAGACCTGTACCGTGAAGCACCAAACCCCCATGGCAGCAATGTAAACGAATGACTCACGCAAATCAAGCTGTTTTAATACCCAACAAATGGCCATTAGCCTCAACGAGACACAAGCCATGGCTTGCTTACCTCCGCTCTGTACGAAATGGCGGTATCGGTCAAGTTGAGGAAATCCGCCCACTGAGCGTTGCCCGACACATTGCGATTGTAGTTGTGAGTACCGCCGACCTCTCGCAGAACAACCATGTAGCCACGGATGATTCCGTTCGGTTCAGCAGGCGGGGAAAATACCACACGGATGCCGCGTGCCAGCTGCGTGAGCATGACATCCCTGGGCAGGCCAGGAGCTGTGTTGGCACAGCAACACAAACACCACAGTTGCAAAACTCTCACAGTCTGCCTCTCCTTCTCTCACTCCTCTCTCCTCCTCTCCCCCCCCCCCTCTCTCTCTCGCTCTCTCTCTCTCTCTCTCTCTCTCTCTCTCTCTCTCTCTCTCTCTCTCTCTCTCTCTCTCTCTCTCTCTCTCTCTCTCTCTCTCTCTAACTTTCATCTGCCAAGAAGGATCCTCACTGACTGACCTGTGATATGACAGTTCTCACGCTCACCTGCTTCTCCGGTTAGAAGCACAACAGATGTCCCAACAAAGCTGCTGTTCAGGCCAGCCTCATCTGACACACCATTACGCACAAACACTCTGACGGTGTAGTTTGTGAATGGCTTGAGACCAGTAATGGATGCAGACAGCGAAGGGGACCCTATGCTACTGGCCAATTCCATCTGAGCAACAGTATTTTCGCACACAACACCAGAAAAAGACATGAATAGTCGAGAGAGAGAGAGAGAGAGAGAGAGAGAGAGAGAGAGAGAGAGAGAGAGAGAGAGAGAGAGAGAGAGAGAGAGAGAGAGAGAGAGAGAGAGAGAGAGAGAGAGAGAGAGAGAGAGAGAGAGAGAGAGAGAGAGAGAGAGAGAGAGAGAGAGAGAGAGAGAGAGAGAGAGAGAGAGAGAGAGAGAGAGAGAGAGAGAGAGAGAGAGAGAGAGAGAGAGAGAGAGAGAGAGAGAGAGAGAGAGAGAGAGAGAGAGAGAGAGAGAGAGAGAGAGAGAGA